TAGAGACAATATCGTCCAGTTTTGAACAAACTTTTGGTAATAAATATATTAATTCTTTCACAAAACACTCGGAGGGTTCGTTCTCAAAAATGGCTAACAGTTCTCTTACGAGAAAACAGACTTGTTTTATTGATATAGTTTGTATTGTATGTTGCGATGATAGCATGTCTATTTTAACATCCAATAGATTGGCAATCTGAACATAACATAATAATATACTATTAACAAGCAATCAATATTTTTTATTATAAATTAAAAAGTATCATTATGAATCATTTAAAAATTATTATATGTATCACATATACAACAATTAGGAGAGCACTTCCTAAAAAAATAGATAAGATTCAAACAACTTCGTCAAAAGTTGTCAATATTCAAAAAAAGAGAGAGACTTAAAACTTTAAAACTTTTCTAGATTTGGATTTCGGTGACTTTTAACATAATTACAACTGCTAGAATCTTATTTACTTTTGGAGAAAGTGTCAACTGCTGCTCTAAAGGAATGTCCACAATAGTCGTAAAATAGGCAATAAGACATAAGTAATAAGCTAATTAAAATTAATAAAAACCAACCACAGTCGATTTATTTTTGGAATATATAAATTAGTTAATTAGTTTTCTGCATACTTTACAGTTATTATAGACGGTCCTTTATATTGTTGCGTAATGTAATTACACATATAAATAATCGTCTTTGGTAGCTATACGTTGCTCGCGTTCGAAATCAGCAAATAACATCCAATACGTCCCCGATTTAATCGATGTACCTTTGCATCAAATTTTCTAAAATAAGCTGGATTTTTGAAACATAATGTAGAACTTGTTTCCCAGAACTCGTTCTCTACAGATATAGAAGCGGTAGATTTATTTTCCTTTTTAAACTTCTTCCCTTTTTTATTATGTTTTTTTTCAATTTTCACGAATGGAGGTAATGGAAAATAATGAAAGTAACATGGCGGCGGTTGATATTTAGTGTCACATAATGTTAGCAATGTATCCAATTCACTTTGCAAATACATCAAAATGTCTAAACGTTCCAATACTTGTTTTCGCAACAAAGGATCTTTTTGAGTGACAAAGCCAGTGATTATTTCTCTAAGCCTGTAACATATTCTTGCAGTTATTTATAACATTAACTAAAGTTGATGAAAATATTAAAAGAAACTATCGCAATATTAACATATATTACAACATGATAAAGAAGAAATTCAATTTTGCTACTCACCAATTGATACAACATATGAGAAGATCTAATACCGCAGGTTCCGGTATATCAAAGTTTTGTGGCATTAATATTCCACATCCTAAAAGTACATCTATAGCTTCCAATTCTCCATGTACATTAAGTCTCACGTTACATGTCTTGAGAAGTCGAAACAATATCGGTGCGATTGGACCACTTCTTCTATTTCCAAAATTTAGCATACAATTTTGTGGTTCTTCTTCTGCATTATTCAGTCCAAATTTTGGAACTAAATGTTTACTAGTATGGCAATAAAAATTATATATATCTTATTACAATTTAGCCTTGTCCCTCACTTTTTCTTCTTTAGATTGCACGCTTCTACAGCGTTCGTTAGTATAGTAATTGGAGAAGACACACAAGTTACACTGATGAACGCTTAAAATATCAAACACTAAAAACTACTATTTAGAAATTTCATTGGATAAAACGCTCGAGTCCATTTATTTTTTATGTAAATTCACCGCGTGCTAGGAAGTTAAAATCGGCGAGGCGCTCACTGTGTTCTCGCCTTATAAGATATTCCGTTTAAATATTATGAAATAATCTAAAACATTACTTACCTGGATTGTGGTTTATCAGTCATATATGTATTAACAAACTCATCTTCAATGCAGTGGCTGATCTTCTTAAGAAATTCTGTATTAATAAATTCAGTTTGTGCAATTATTTGTTCTAATTGGTCATAAAACAATGGCTGTGATTTAGGACAACTTCTCACGCACTTCGTTACTTGATCTGCAAATTTATTAATTAAATTGATTTATGAATTGTTCTATTCAATTTTTGGATTATTTTATACATGTATATGTACACATACACACATATACGTATATAATCATCCCTTGCTATTCAAAATAATAGAAAGGTCCCAGAAGACAGATTGTGGTTAGTACTAATTTAAGTAGCAAAATTTTTTCTATTGCTTTTTCTGTTAAAACTATTTCATTCTATACCAATACCGATACAAATTCTTATTCAATTTACATTAATTATAGCATCATATCAAAGATTGTCCAAGATAATATACATACTAAATAATTTCATGGCTTGTTCACAAGTTTCAGCTTTTCCTGCTAAATGTTTTATTGCCATTACTGCTCCCATGACACCTTTGCATTTCGTGCTGAAATATATTGTTCAATTTTGATAAAATTGAAAAAAACATGTAATATTACTTTTATAACACTCACAGGGGTTTTGCAGCAGATAGTTGTTTTTGCAATAGTATAAATAAATCATCCCGTAATAATTCTGAAGTAGAATCATCAAGCAAACATAAACTGTGTAATAAATCATTTACAGTACCAACTTCTTGAAGTCCGAAGCAATCTATTTTTTCTAATAAAACTCTTAAATGATTGCATTGTAAGACTAAACCATTTCTCTCGACAGTATTTTCTGCCATTTTACAAAGTACAGTCAGTGCATGTTTCACTGTTTGATCATTATTACCCATAAGAAGAATAATCTTTTCTATAATTTCACGCTGCTTAAACATCTTCTCTTGGTTGAGAAATTGCAATCGGAACCATTCTATTGCAAAATTAACAAACACATACTCTCCAGACTTTAAAAATTTACCAGCTAATTGTAATATTGATAATTGTAATTCTCGAACAACCTAAAAATAGATATAAAAGGAAACTCTATAATATAAAATATGACATTCATGAGTGTTTATCTTGCTAAAACAAAACAGTTTTATAAACAATTATGAATCGAACTTCACTCAGGTGAGTTCGTTTGATTTTACAATTTTTCGTCGGTGAGAAATATACAAACCTCTTTATAGTCATTATAAAGTATTTGAAGTAGACTTGTTCTATAAAAACCACATCTTACATTCTGCTTCAATAATGATTCTGCATTCTTTTGCTTTGTTGTTCCAGCAAATATCAAGAGCAAAATGATTACATCCAACGGTTTCGGATTTTTATTAATGTCTCTTATTACCGTTATTGCAGTATGTGTCACATCTTTATTTAATAACATGCACATCTTCAATGTTTTGACTATCTGTACTTGATTTTTGTAACAATTATGAACTTTATCACCAGCAAGAGGCTGCATTTCTATATTACGTAGTACAAGTAGCATTTGCTTAACAATATCAGGGGACACAAGGTCATCAAGAAGAAATCTGCAATATTATTTGCAAATTATTACAAGAATAAAAATAATAACACAAGATTAATAAAATCTTATGTTATTTTCATAGAAAAAATTTAAAGTAATTTAAGTATTAACCTGATAATAGCTGGTACAAGTTCCAATTTTATATTTGTTTTTAACAAATTTAATACTTTAACTTTATATTCCATCAAATATTCTTTGTTGAGATTGAAACTGGCAATGCAATTTAAAATTACATTTGTTAATTCACAATTTTCCTCCATTATTTTTGTTAAAACTTCAGCTATGCTTTGATGTTGAACATCTAATAAAATATCAGGCAAGAATAAGATAAGCTCATGTTGAAACCACATTGGACATGTTTCTAATAGCTGTTCTATATTTGCAGTTAATGCATCAACACTGGCTATAGTATCCAAAAAACGAAATTCATGTAATAATAGTATAGCCCAAGGTACTTTCTCTGCTGTATCTCTATAAAAATACATACATTTTTTTCTTAAATTTGAATAGAATTACATATAATCATCTTTGCAATTTTAAACATTTAATAAACATGTAACATACATACAACAGAACTTGGAATCATATTTAATACATACATGTATATATACATGCATGTATATGTACTTACGCTAACATAACAGATTCATTAAGTTTAGTTATAAAGATATTGTATACATCTGTCTGAATTTCTATAACTTCCAGTAATATTCTTGCAAGAGACACACTGCTCACAACAGTAAAATCTCTAGTATCAATAGGCAT